GGCCACGCTTTCACGGTTCGTATTCGTACTGGAAATCAGAATCAAACGAGCTTTTACCCTTTTGTTCCACACGAGATTTCTGTTCTCGTTGAGCTCATCTTAGGACACCTGCGTTATCTTTTAACAATGAATTGTTGCTTAAGTGAAAGTTTCTCTTGCAAGGAATCAAAAACTAGCTTGGGCTAAATTAGCAGTTCAAGGAATTTTAAAGCAAGTCGGTAAACCGGCAGAAAATCAAATTTTTATTTGGTATATGCTCAATCTCATCCATGGGTATTGTTAGAACCGTTTAATTGATAGTACAGATAGGAAAGTTAGTACAAAAAAATATGTACGAATCTCCACAAAAAAATTAGCAGTTCGAACCATGTAAACTAGTCACCCTTATATCGTACATTTTGATGCATACCCAAAGATGGGAGGCATCGCCGCAACATACCAATGTCCGGCCGTGCGACCATACTCCCCCGCACTATACAGTATATTCGTATAAGTGAATGAAGAACACAAAATATGTATATCCTATAGTTGGGGAGTGCTGGTTTAAAACTTCAAAAAAGATGAAAACTTGAAGAAAAACATTGTGTAATCCAATTTGAGACCCAAAACGGCCGTTTTTTGGGTTGAAGGGTCGGACAAGCCGCCTCCGGCGACTTGCCAGGACATAGCTCTCGAAACGTTACATGGAATCAAAAAAAAATTCATCAAATTTGATCAACGGAGCTCAAAGTTATGGTCTCCCAAAGTTTCGATATAGTTGGAAGTACTTTTTGAGGGATATAAATGTCCAGATTTTAAAAATTATTACTCTTTTTATGAGCATGGTTTTATAGATGATGAAAAAACGTAGGAAAAAGAGTGGTTATTTGTTCAAAACAAACCAGAATCGAATGAGATATGGTCTTCGAAAGTTTTATCTCTGCTGTACGAGTTTCTGTTCGATTGAATCTGGAGAGTGCGTTATTCAGTGAACTAAAAGACTTATATAATTTAAAGACTCCATCTTTCAAATTTCCATTAGGTTTAATTGGAACGCGCGTTTAAGTTTTAAATCATAGACCAGAGTTCGAACCTGCCGGTAACGTTTTCTTTGTTTTTTGTTTTTGTTTTTTTTTTAATTCCGCGCCCAATTTTCTTCTTTTCTTTTGTTCCGCGCCCAATTTTCTTCTTTTCTTTTGTTCCGCGCGCAACACAGGCAAGCAAACCAAAACAACGATGAGGATTTCTCATAAGGTCTGCACATGGATGCTGGTGGAGATGAGAAGAGAGTGAGATTGACCGAGGTAGTTTAGGGTTTAGGGATTCAATCACTCAAGATTTCAACCATTGCGTTCTTCACAGGAAAGCAAGGTAAATTTCATTTGAAGATTATAATTCAATTAATGGTATGTAAAATTTAGAAAAGTATGTATCCGTATGCTTAGGTTGGACTTTTGGTGATTTCCAGACGGTTTTCACATTAATTCTGGATTAATGTCGATAGAAGAGCAGGTCAATAATTTAATGGAAGTTTGCTTTTCTTTAGTTAATTGGTTTATTTATTGTTTATCATGTTCCAATTTTCGTTTGTCTTAACTTTTGCGGTGCAGGTGTAACTTGGAAGAAGTTAAAATAGGATGCTCGATTTCGTTTGAGAGTTTAATCCTTGTCCACAGGCAAACGGCTGTGAGTTTCCGAAAGTTCTCTGTTCTTAGTTTTCTTCTTTCATTGTCTTTTTCTTATCTGTTTCCTAAACAATGGAGCATACTGAATTTCTTGGATATTTTATTTATTCCGAGTTGCGAACTGTTGGGATCTTTGATTTGTGGTCATATTTCTGGGCTGCCCTTGCTTATTACATGCATATAACTGTCATGATTGGAAGGTTTGAAGATGGGGAAATCTCTAGCGTGGGTTGAGCCTTTTGGGATATAGAAACTCTTTGCTACTTGGGTTGACAGAGGGAGTATAGTTGTGGTTTCCAATTGTTTCTGTTTTACTACCTATCTATGTTTAGGCACTTTCTTTCAAAAAGTTCTTAATGATAGGACTTACAAGGGTACACTATAAGAATTTTGTCTATTCTAAGCAGACATGGAAACAAGGGTACCGATGCAGTATTTTATTACTTCGTGTTTCGCAGCTTCTTAGCGGATTCTGAGAGCATGAATTTCCTGCAATTTTTTTAGCTAAGAAGATTACAAATTACTCAGTCTAAGCCTTCATTTATATATTTTGTACGTGAAATTTATTATGCAGACTAGAGTTTCTTAATGAACACAAATCATTCCAACTTCTCAATCCCAAACTAACTCTTCAAGTAGTTAGTCTTACCCGATCACGTTTATTAGTTAGGTTGGTTGTTTCAGCATTCTCATAGCTAGCTCATCCTATATCCTCCTGCAGTTTTGAACATCAAAAACGTGTAAGCAAAGGAAAAATCAAACCAAAATTGATTACCCCTAACATACTCTTGTGCTTTTTCTTACAGAAAAAGTTCACTTAACCCTCTTTCAAGATTCAAATCCAATCGCTGTCCAGCTGTTACTTTGTCAATTTCATACCTGCACCATGATCAAAGGTCTTTGACAAATAAGACTAATTCAAGATAGTACAAGAGTATGTCTGAAATATGCAGTCAGTATACATTTCATATAAACTGAGGTACCCCTACATTAACTAACAAACTGTGACTCACTTTCAACCTATTGGCCTCACCACTTGCCTCTATAAAATCATTACTCAGGTCCTCATCAAATGTTTTTGGTTTAGGTCCTGCTATTTTCTTTTTCAAATCTCTTATTTGATTTTACAGATTGGTATATGTACAATTCTTGTCCAAGTTTATTAATTTATTATTATTATTATTGATTTATTTTAGTTTATTAATTTATTATTTATTTATTCTTGTCCAAATCCTCTCACCTCTATTGTGTGGATTAACCTTTGTATAGGTACTCAAAAAGTGTTGCGAGGCCTTTTTGAAGCTGAGAAAGTGCCTGCACGATTTGACTAGGAGAAGAAATGTGGAAATGCGATTTCGGCCTTTGGAGAAAGAAGATTAAAGCTCTTCTGGTTCAATAAGACGTAGCAAGGCTTTGGATGATGAAGGCAAGTTACTTACCTCTATTACTGATGTTAACGAAAAGGAAATGGCTAAAATAGCATCAACTGTTGAGAAGAATTGGAGAAATTTAAATTATATCTGATCTGTGGACTTGAAAGCAAGATTCTTCAGCTATAAAAAGAACCCTACGAACAATTGGAAGAGAATTTAGGGGATGCTCTAACCTTGGACAATGTTCGTGACTCACTTAGGTCTACAGAACTTAAGCTTAAATGAGAAATGGCGGAGAATTATAAGCTCACATGGGAAGGATTCTCTGTTGAAGCTTTTATGCCATGTATTATATATTGAATAACTTTATTTGAAAATTTAAATGCATCATAACCTATTTTAGTTGATGTATGTGGACAAGAGCTTGAAGGAATGTATTGTGCCATATTATTTGTCGAACTAAGAATCTTACTTATCTATGCAACCTATGACCTGTAGTGTAATTGTAAGGGTAAGTGCACTATCTCTCATTGAAGTGTTGTGATATTGTGACTAAATTGTCGAACTTGTTTTCATTAGTTGTCTGGTTGTGATATATTTTTTATTTTTTAAAGTGATTATCCTTCCAACATTCAGCCAAGGCACAAAACCACCAAAACCATATGTTTTCTTATTATGTTGGGGTTGAAAGGCTGTTGGTGTTGTCTATAGCAGCTATAGAACAGCTCTCTTATGATGTCCCTGTTTAAAGGCTATTGGTGTTGTCTGTTTATCTCACAGCCGCATCTATTTTGTCGTGGTTATTTGTGGTTATTTGTTTCCCACTTTCTTAAATTGATGATGCAGTCGTCTCAAGTGAGTCAATAAGCTGGGTCTTTTTCTCAGCGTTGTTTTTGGACCAACTAGTAAGCTTATCATTTCCTTTTTCTGTGATTCAGACATGAATTATATCAGCTTGCTGTTGTGTGTCCTGGCTGCTTATTGATTAAACCTACATTAAATAGACGATACTTGTTTATTGTTGAGTAATTTATCCGTTCTTTTACCTTGTTTACAGTCCCTTTTAGATTCATCAATGGTGTCTTTGAGCCAATATGAATCATTCTAAAATTGATTTGATTACTAGACGTTGATCTTTAATGTATAATCCCTTCACTGTGGTGGCAGTACCTTTGATTTGATGCTATTGGCTCAAAGAAAAGTTTGTGGTTGCTAAAAGAGTGGAGGCTGAGAGTTCCATTGGTAAAAAGAATGAAGCTTCAAAGACGGTAAAGGAGAAGTCTAGTTCTATTCAATGTTGGAAGTGCAAAGGGTTTGGACACATGAGCAAAGAGTGTGTTAATAAAAAAGTTATGGTGATAAGGAATGGTATACTTGATTCAGATGATGAATGTGAGGATCATGACTCACCGCTTGTGGAAGAAATCGCAGCATATGTTGATGAGTATGTTGAAGAAGGTAATTCCATATCTTTGATCACAAGAAGGGTACTCAATGTTCAGATCAAGGAAGAGAAATTTGAAGATCAAAGGGAAAACTTGTTCCACACAAGATGTTTGGTCAAAGGAAACCCATGCAGCTTGGTGATTGATAGTGGAAGTTGCACAAATGTGGTAAGCAGCTTCCTTGTAAAAAGACTTCAACTTTCTGTCCATCCCCATCCAAAACCATACAAACTTCATTGGTTAACAAACAAAGAAGAAATTAAGGTGAACTCCCAAGCTCTTATTTCTTTTACTATTGGAAGATATAAAGATGAAGTTCTTTGTGATGTCGTACCAATGCATGCGGGGGACATCTTATTCGGCCGACCTTGGCAATATGATAGAAAGGTAACATTTGATGGTTTGATGAACAAGTATACTTTTACCTTGTGTGGGAAGAAATTTACTTTACTTCCATTGTCTCCATATGATGTACATTGTGACCAATTGAAATTGGAGAAGAAAAGAAAAGAATATGAAGAACAACCGTGGAGAGAAGAAACTAAGGTAAAGGTGAGAAAAAAAAAGTGAGAAAAAAAAATATTCAGTTCTTGTCCGGAAAGAACGAAGAATTTGATTTGAGGACAAATCCTTTTAAAGAAAGGGAGGATGATATGAATTCAACTGCTGACCCTTTGCATGTACCCGAAGGACCGATTACAAGAAGCAAGGTTAAGAAGATTCAAGAGGCCTATACATTGCATCTTCAAAAGCTAGCTAGTGTACAGGTTGAAACAAAGACTTTTGAGCCCAAAAATCTTTATAGCATTAGCATATCAAATCAAGAAGATAATGGAGTGGCTGATATTAGAAAATAATTAGAAGACTTGCCTTTGGTAGTTGAACTACCAATTAAGACAATTTATTAATGCCTTCTTTGCTTCAATTTATATTTAATAGCATTTATTAATAGTTTGTATGAATTACCTTATATTCTTCAATTTGCATTTAATAGCATTTATTAGTGGTTGGTGGCTGAACTTTATTTTGTTAGGGTTATCTTTTGGGCCTATTTAAAGACATGTAATACTCATGTTTGAGGGATTTTGGTTGAATACAGAAAAAACCTTTGTGTTTTCTTGATACCCTTTTGGTGTTATTCTTTTTCAAATCTTGCTTTAGGTTTGATGTTTAAACCGATTCATTGAATTAGTTTTGATCAAGCTAATTCTAGAGTGAATTGTCTTGGTATCTAAGAGTGACCATCATAGATTCCAAGTTCGATCTAAGAGTCATTCATCTTCCAACCAGCTCTTGGTTGGAATCAATCCGTTAAGTTAGCTTTCTCTGTGAGCGTTTTGCAAGGATTCTAGAAGGACCTCTAGCTTTGCAAATTCCAACATTGTAGGCGCTTATCAATGGAGCTGGGGCTACGTTCTTCCTCGATCCATGAAAGTACATATTGTAGTTTCTTGTTATGGAAATCAATCTTGTTTAGATCTAAACCCAATATGATTTCTTAACTTTACTAGAAGGTTCGCAGCAGCCCGCGCTTAGTCCCTGTATTTCCAGAAAGCCAATCCTGAAGAGGCGCTTTGTTTCCATACGCATGTCAAAATTCACAACAGGGGTTAGAGTACGTGCCGATGCCAGCTCTGGTTCTACCATTCAAGGTTGATTCACCTCCGGAGCAGGGGAAGGCGACTCCCTTGGAGGCAGATTTAGATCGATCTCATTCTTTGGTAAAATAAAGTAAGGATTCCCATCACATCATACAGTAAACCAAAAGTGAAAGCGACGATTAGCAAGCAGATCGGGTAAAACGGAATAAACCTAATTTGGAAGATCCACTTGACTTGTCCAAAAAGAACAAAAAATAATGACATGGATAAATGAGCGCGAAGTCATAAGTTCTCTCTTGCGTTCTCGATCGGAAAAGAATACGAACAAAGAAGAAGAAGAAGAAAAAGCCCATTACGAAAAGGAGGATCCGCACAAAATCGATAAACAAAGAAAAAAGCTTGAGATCAATTCCAGTTGATTCTCAATCCCCACGGAAAGCTCTTCATGTCCTACGAAAACAAAAAGAAGAATGAGGAAGAAAAAGAGAAAAGAAAGATGAGACGATTCGAGATCAGCGAGTGCAATTCTCACGAGAAGGAGAAGCTCCTCCCTTAGCTAAGACTCGTTAGGCTAAACGACAGACAGACAAATTTGAAAACTAAAGCGCAGCACCCAGAAGCGTTGGGGTGGGAATGGCAGACAGAGAAGAGATTAGAAATTAGAGAGAGAGGGCACAAAGAAGTGGTTTGACTCAAAAGCGCAAGAAAGAGAGGAACTCATTCAAGCAAGCTAATTCGACCTTTGTAAAAAGACAGAGATTAATGTAGACAGATTCCAGTGGCATTTCGTTCCACTAGAGAGAGAGAAGGTTCGCTTTTTAGGCTTGTGAAAGAAAGAAGAAAGAAATTTGCCTGAACCTTACAAGTAGTGGGCAATGAAAAATGCAAGCATGGTTTGGGGAGGGATTTGTTTTTACAGAGAGCCGTTCAACAACTCATCTTTGGATGATATCAAGAGAAAGAAGAGAGTGACTTTACCCCTTTCCTTTCCTGTCTTGGATCGCCTACTAAATCTCTTTACGTTCTCTGTTTCTGGTCGTGTCTTTACCCCTTAGCTAGTTCGACAACAGCTTTGGCCGATGGGTCTTTGTGTAAATGTTCCTTGATGATGTCGCGCATCGATCCATCGATCTTACTTGAATGAATATGGGCTAACATGCACAGGGCCGCATGTTCGCCCTTCCGACTCAGCGCGTCGGCTGCTTGATTACTCTTTCCTGCTTTGTGTTCGAACTTGAAGTCGAATTCGGCCAACGACTCCTGCCACCGGGCTTGTTTTGCTGTTAATTTTGGTTGATCAAAGAAGTGGCAAGTGGCGCTGTTATCCGTCTTCACTACGAACTGTGATCCTAAGAGATACTGTCTCCAGAGTCGAAGGCAATGGACTACGGCCAGCATTTCTTTCTCGGAGACAGTGTATCTTTGTTCGGCATCGTTGAGCTTTCGACTTTCGTAAGCGATGGGGTGGCCTTCTTGAATAAGGACTCCCCCGAGAGCAAAGTCGGAAGCATCGGTTTCTACTTCAAATGGCTTTGTGACGTCTACCAACCCGAGGACAGGACCCCTCGTCATGGTTGTTTTCAGATTTTCAAAGGCCATTTGACAATCATTCGACCACAACCAAGGGTGGTCTTTCTTCAACAGCTCTGTCAATGGGGCGGCTCATCGTGAAAACCCTTCGACGAACCGCCTATAGTAGTTGGCTAGTCCTAAGAAGGACCGCAACTCAGATACGGAAGTAGGAACCTTCCATTCTTGGATAGCTTTTATCTTGTCGCTATCCATACTAATTTGTCCACATCTGACGACATGTCCAAGGAAGTTGATGCATGTTTGTGCGAATGCACATTTCTCCTTCTTCACATACAGCTGGTTCTGCCTGAGCTTGTCAAACACTAACTTCAAATGCACTTTGTGTTCCTCGAGGGTTGTGCTGTAAACAACAATGTCGTCGAGGTATACTATGACGAATTGATCCAGGTATTCGTAGAAAACCTGGTTCATCAACGTGCAGAACGTAGCTGGGGCGTTTGTCAAGCCAAAGGGCATTACTAGGAATTCAAAGGCCCCATATCTTGTTACGCACGTCGTCTTGGGTTCGTCCCCTTCGGCAATGCGTACTTGATAATATCCTGATCGTAAGTCCAACTTCCTGAAGTACTTGGCCCCGTGAAGTTGGTCGAATAAGTCAGATATTATAGGCAGAGGATATTTGTTGCGTACTGTCACCTTGTTTAAGGCTCTATAGTCTATGCACAGACGCAGCGTCCCATTCTTCTTCTTCTGGAACAGTACGGGGGCTCCATAAGGGGCCTTTGCCGGGCGAATGAATCCCGCCTTCAACAACTCATCCAGTTGTTTCCTCAATTCGGCTAGCTCGGGCGGAGCCATCCGGTATGCGTTCTTTGCTGGCGGCTTAACCCAGG